TATATATATATATATATATACACACATACACATACACACACGATGTGATCGATCTCCATGATCGTTGGCAGATTTATGAGTTTTTTCACCCAAAAGGTTTATGTGCTGTAAATTTTGTTGTAACTCTACTAGATGGCGCTGTAGAACAAAACAAATCATGTCAAATGCAACCCACAACACTCGGCAGATTTTTGAATCTATCTCGTTAAATAACTCCTAAACAAAGCGTCCTAAGGCTTAAAAAAACAAAGTTTTGAGCCAAAGATATCTTTCTTACACCTCCAGGATGGGATCTTCTTGAACATTCTATTACAGTTTTGCTGGTCCGACGCTTCTCCATATTACCCCACTTGCTCACAGACGTGCAGAATCTGCAACCAAATGTAAATGAGAGGGTCAGAGAGTGACAGAGAAAGGCAGAGACAGACTGAGACAGTGACAGACGGAGAGAGAATGGGAGATGGAATATGAAAGAAGGATGTGAAGAGCAGAACAACGTCTGCTCAAATAATTTCTCTTATTAATAAGAGCTTCCAGTAGGATGGATTTTTATGACTCATATCACCAATAAAGGAATTAAATCATAACATAATATTATCCCAGCATTAAATTAATAAAAATGAATACACATTGCTAAGATTGAAACAAATTACATCTGTCTATGAATGTCTTTTCTGTCAGCAAGTCACTACAAGTATGGCTGCATATAAACACTTCTTCCACCTCTTCCAGGGCCTTCTTCGGGGCATGATGCATTATGTCCAAATACGAACTGTTTACCTGGCTATAAAGACAAATAGTATATGTAAACAATGCCTTAATACATTTTTCTTTGTAATAAAATATTAAACTTGGAGAAGTTTAATTGTACTCACCTAAGGATTTTTCTGGGGCATCTAGAATTAAGAAATCTCTAACATTATAGATAATATCAAACTGTGTCAAAACTTATAAATTAGGTATTAAAGCTACATTTGTAAGTAGTTTTACATTAAAAATTTAAATAGGTAATAATATTTTAAAAAGAACAACACACACCTCTGCTACTGCCATCACCACCACCACCACCACCCAGACGACTATTACACATAACTAGTGGTGCTACAAGAGCACGTACTTTCTCACAATATTGTTTTCGTTATTTACTACGGGACGCCCATTTACGCTTCATTACTTTGAAACATAAAGAAACACAAATTACAAATCTTTACAAAAAATTGTACATGACCTTTTTGTAAAGAGCTAAATAGTACAACAGACTTTCTATGAAGCAAAAATCTCTATCTCCAATTTTGTAGTTTCGATTTTTTTGCAATTTCCGCAAAAAAGCGAGTAATTTGGGATTACCCCCATTTTATAACGTTCCTGATTAAATATATAGAAAAAAATGGAAGAAAAAATTGGAGCGTTTTTTTAGAAAAAAACGTAAATTTCAAGTGAAAATTACGCAAAAAAACCTAGTTTTTTTCAAAAAATAGTACATGACCATTTTTAAAGAGCTAATTTAGTATAACAGACTTTGTCTGAGACAAAAATCTCTATATTCAATACTGCAGTTTTAAAATTTGTGTTTGCTATTTTCGAAAATACGGGGATTTTAATGAAAATTAGATCTGCACCATTATCTTAAACGTCCTTCACACTATTCAACAACAAAATTTAATCAAAATGTTGGAGCCATTTTTTTGAACATTTTGAAAATGTCCGAGGTGTTAAGTTATAAGTATATAAAGTTTTCCCAAAATTAAAATATCGGTTTCAAATCCCAGCTGCGGCGACATCAGCCAGAGTGATTGAGGAATATCAATTTTGGAGAAAATCGGCTGAACGATTTCTGCATTAGTGTTGTGCATAGACAGACGGACGACAGACAGACCTGTTGCCTTCAATCGACTTCTCGGTATGAAGGACGCACAAAACATGGATTCTCACTTCACCACATTTTAGAGGTTTTTTTCTATATTTAGCAACTGGATTTATCCACCTTTTCGTTCCCAGGGCCCGGAAACAAGAGTTTTTGTGTCGAAAATTCGCCTTTTTCCGGTGCACTAATACAATACTTTCTCTTCTGACGTTAGTAAGTGCAAGTAAAAATATGGTTTATTAGATACCATGTTAAAAAACATGGTTCATTTTTTGTAGAAAAATGTATGCGTTCTATATTATAATTGTAAAAAGTTTTTAATGAAACATTTATTTTCATTTTCAGTGTATACAAAAACCTGTATTCTATTAGGATATACTATCGTGTTTTCACTGACCCGTTTTGTAACGCGTCAGTATCATTCTGCATCGTAGCTACTTTATGTTATTTGCCTTTTCTGTTTTGCAGTTTGAATGCTGTGGTGTTCATAAAGTAGATGACTGGGAGGGAGTCATTAAGCCTGGAATAGCTGCGCCCAGTTCTTGCTGCGTAGAGAAAGGAGAAATTTGTGTCAACACAAGCCGTTTAGGAATGTACCAACTTGGATGCTACTCCAAGCTCGAAGAAAAGGTCCAAAGTAGTGTGATATGCCTAGCAGGCATTGGGATTGGAATTGCTTTCATTGAGGTCAGTATATAGAACACTCTGTTACACATACTAACAAACAAAAGTGGGATTTCGGATCTTTTATTTGGGAAGGGGACAGATTTGGAGGGTAAGTATTTTGTATACAAATTTAAAATTGCAGTGTTTAAAAATTAATTAAAATTATCTTTATTTAAATAATATTAATTTAATAAAAATGTACGAAAAGCAGTATGTAGTATGCTTGTATTTTACAATTTACTTTTTAATAATCCGTATTGCACACAAATGTATTTAAGGTGCAATGCACCGAAAAATACTTGTAGGAGAATTCAATAGAACACAGCACCATCACAGGGGAGTTTACTTTACTGATAACGTCTGAACCAATGGTCCAATTTTTGATCTGTAAGCGGCATTTGACGCCTTTTTAAAATAGAATTTACGCTACGAAGCCCTTTTTCCAAAATATTGCAAAAATTCGAATTTGAAATTAGTTCTCAAACATCCGAGAAAAAAATAAAAAATGTGGGCTTATAGCGCGATTGCGACATGCTTCCTGAATCCAACGCCGTGACAATCATGCAAATTAGACGAATAGGAGCGTCGTAAAGTGAAATTTTGGAAAACACCTCGCCCCCCTTCCCTTCTGCGCCGTTGCGTCACCCACCCGATTGTTGTAGGCCTTCTGTAGGCAAGGCAGGGCCAGGCCAGGCGGCGTGCGGCCTGCCCCGGCGGAGCAGGCGGGACTTGCGGAATAGGCAAGCCAGACAGTCGGTTTATGCTTTTGCCACTTTGCATCTCAATGTATTTTTCCACAGATATCAAACTAGAGATGCTATACTACTATTACAGACGGAGGTAAACGGTCTGTAATAGTAGTACATAACTATCTGTTTCACATATATCCTTCTTCCTTCGAATACGATCTTAAAATTGTTTGAGACATTACTTAAAATGTCGATTCCGATTTGGAACTGTTTTTTTAAGGAACTAATTCTGCAAATGTCACCATTATTCCATCTCCTCACATCTTATTTTAGAAATATTTTACTTCTAAGGTCTTCTGTTATCATTCCATCTTCCTCTAAGATCTTCCGTTGTCAAATACCGGAAAGAATGAGCGGAGTATACGCACGAGCTCTTTTATCGTACTACTCGATTTTTGATCTCAAAACGACGTTTATCTGCTTTAGAAAGCTGCTATCTGCGACGTTCATCTGGTGAATCTATTTTCCTAAGTAAAATAGCCGAAGCTAATTTTAAAAATGTTTTTGTACTTTCGGACTAATTTAATAAAGTGCATGATCTTGGCTGTCTGGGTGACGTGGCGTCGAAGGCTGTGTTGACGTTTCGACCATTTTGTCGCGGACTTCCTCAGGGCTGGTATGCCCATACATACCCGACGCGGCGTCACTCGGACAGCCAAGATCATGCACATGACTCTGGCCGCGGAAGCCTACGTCTTCAAATTTAAAAAAGGTGGTAAAATAGCGGGCTGGCGAGCTGCATCCTGACTCCACCGCTGTAACAAGCATCAAAATAAGATAGTATGAATCATGACTTATCCCAGCTTACTTGGTAAGTTATTTTGATATAAATTAAATATGTTATATTTGTATAATTTTGAAGGGAATAAATTATTCCTGGTGAGTCATTTCATACAGACTACGTAAATGAATAAAGGGTAATGATGCAATTGGATAACTCCTAGATGTTGGCTTGCATTTGGAGCGTATTTTCCCCTTCCTTTTTTTTTTTTGTTTTATAAAAAGTGAATTTTGTAGAAAAAGTTATCGGTAGAAATTGCAGTATGTAAAACCTGTTGGACGTGACCCTTTCGTGACGTATCGGCCACAATGATATAAATAATATGGAACATTCAAACTAGTTCAAAAACTAAGGAAATCTTTTTCTGTATGATCTTAGGATATGCTTTACGCTAACGCTTACGCGACGCAATGTAATCTATACTTTCCAGAGGAAATAGAAAATGATGTTTCTTTCAATGTGAATTGTTTTTGAAAATCTTAAGAAAGTATATCTTACATCAACAATATTTTTAAATTTTTTTTTCTTTTTCCGAGGGATGACTTTTGTCGATTGACTGAATCACACGGTATTCATGCAATTGTATTGTTATTTGCACAATCTCGACTGTGTCCTTTCTTTGGTAATGGAATAATTATAGTGCGTTGAAAATCTGTTGTTCACTATTTCTTTTCCAGATCACATTGCATAATTGTGTTAGTTTCACCAAGATTTCTTCCCCCGTATCTTTGAATAGTTCGATTTGAATATTATCTACAACCGGTGACTTCCCATTTTTCAGTGGTGTTGTCGCCTAATGCATTTCTTCTATCTCTGGTTCTTTTTCGTAATCATCTATATTTATCCACTACTCTATTTGTAAGTTCTTCTATATATTTTTGTGTATTCTTCCATCTTTTTGTGATCTTTCTTTTGTTTATTATTTTGTCGTTCTCGTTTCTTAAGCATTCCCGCTTGTTTGGTTACATGTGGTCATATTTCGGATGACCTGGAAAATTTCTTAAGAATCTCCATTTGTGTTATGTTCTTTCCACTTCTTCGTTTTTTTTTCTTGAATAAACTTTTCTTACTTGTCTTGGTCTTGGCTGGAATACCCTATAGAGTTTCTGAATTGTCGTCTGGTACTTGCTTTTCTTTCAAGAAAGAAATACAAGGACTCGTTGTACATAATAATAATAATAATAATAATAATAATAATAATAATAATAATAGGCACGCGCAAAAATTAAAACATCATACGAGAACAAGGAAAACAAGCAATCAGTGAATGCCATCAATGTGGAATTCTTTTTATCTTCACAATATATGGCCTTTTCTTACCGGGAGTACTCAAGGCTGCCCCGCCGGATTCAAATCCTTCTTTTTTAATTGATGTTACAGTGCGAACAGATACATCAGTATAGTTTACTACAACAACAAAAGCCATATCGTTCCACCAAAAGTCACAAACTAAATTAAAATGAATACGCTATACACTTGTGTTACGAACAAGAAGCAAACAACATGTCTCTCATTGAGTACATGTCTTCTCAAAACAAGAAAAATTATTTATTAGATGAAGTGATATTGAACCTCATACAATGTTGTCAAAGCGGATATACTATTTCCTCGACTGCTGGCGTAGGCGGCAAATTGCAAAACACCTCAATATGCAGGTCTTCGGCGAATTCTTTAGTTCAACCTGGTATGTACTATTGCCTTTCAACCTCGTATGTACTATGTGCTATTGCCATTCTCAGATGGAATGACCGGTGTAAATAAACATTTCCTATACGCTGCTTCGAATTGTACAACATTGGGATTAGTTCTGTGACCATCTCTTGTACGTAAAGAACTAAAAAATTATTCCAAATGATCTTGCTAAACCTGCGAGTTAATAGATATTTAAGCTTTGGATTATTATTCCACATATAATTTCCTGCAACTCATCAATTTGACTGCCCACTGCATCTTTGCTTCTCTTAGAAATTGAAGCATTTGTCCTTTTACCCATTGGATAACAGCTATTTAATAAGTCAAATGTTAAATCAATTGTTTTTATGAACTTCACTGCACTTTCACAACACTGAAATTCATTCATCCCAATATTTTTGCAAAACAACATTGCTTAGCCACGGACAGGCTGAGCGTCTGAACTGCTAAACCACCTTTTATTTTCTGTGTTTCGTACAGTAAATGCCGTCTTTATAATTTATTTGCAGTGTGCAACCCTTCTTTTTCTTGAGCTCTTCTTAGTTTTCAAAATACTCCCACGTAACTTCACTGAAATTTCCTGCAGTACCCTCAGTAAGAATGTTTTTCTCCGTTAGAAGATTACGGGTAAACTTCAGCATGTGAGCAGCATAAAAAAAACAGAATATTTGAGTTTTAACCTGTGGTTTCGTACTCGAGAACAATTAACAAGCTGGACACGTGGGGTCGTCATCGAGCTTAAAATTGTGCAGGTACGCTCTAAAGCATCCATGCCCCGTCAGCAACTGAGTTACGAAGAAGTCCACTTCTCCGTGAATCCTCGACGCCCACTCGTTGATCCGTGGGTTAAGACGGTGGGGCCACCTGCCGTTCAGCGTTGCGTCCCAGCGGTTTTGCCACTGTCTCATCGTTTCCATCTTCTCTTCTTCCAGCGCAGCGAGGGCTTCTGTTCGTGAGCCGTGTCTGCCCCGTGTAGTAGATCCGTCGGCGCTCGTCCACCAGAAACTATATGCGTCATTCCTGCTACTGCGCATACGGCGTCGTATGACACCGTGCGGTACGCACAGGTCACTCTCAAAGCACTCCGACGGATATGGTTCTCACTTCCGGGTTTCTCGCTGGTCACCTCAGGAGTTGCCGGTGTTCTGCCAGAATCCCTTTGACGCGGCAACGCGCCCTCTTCCCTTCTAGAGGAGGAAGGGGAAGGCGACTCCTGCATCTGCCGCTTACCCGTCTCATCCACCTTCTGTCGCGCATCCAGTCCAGGCGAGGTCTGCGTCTCCCCTGTATCCGTGGGAGATCGGACGGTAGTGGCTTATCACAGATCTTCATCCAGGTCAGTTAGCTTCCCAACGAGGCACTCGATGGACGTTGCGTAAGCCTTAATCTCCTTGTGCACATTGTGCTTTGGCTTCGCGTACTCGTGTAGTGCATTTTCTCCCGTCTTCGCGCACAGCAATGTTTGGCCTCCCCTCGAATCCGTGAGGCCGTCCTCCACAGAGTGGATTGTCCACCTCGATGATGGGGTACCGCCGGGGGTGTTACTTCCGTTTTGTTTTGACATTGCACATGCCGTTGAATTTTTAGGGGAGGTGTCCTTCCTCGGGTTCTTATTTCGGGCTTGTCCTTGCCCTAGCCTTTGGGAACCCAATCTCTGACTGCAAGGCAGCAGTACCTGTTTGGCCCGCAGGAGGTATTTTATTTCCCTCCTACCCGCTATATCTAGCGAGTTTTCCCCTATCTGCCACCTGGGGACGCGCCACGTATGAGTTGTATATGAAGACATAACATATTGCCATAAATACTAGGAAGAACTTCTATGAAAAAAATAACAGTTTAAGAATTACTGGTTTGACTTTTTTCATTTATACACAACTTTACTTTAAGGTGACCAGATGTCCTGTTTTGAATGACAGTCCCTGATTTTGAATCCCTGTCCTGTATATTTTTGACAGGAAAATGGGACATTTCAATTCCCTTTACATTTATTTATGAAAAATTAAGATTAGTTTAGATATTGTGCTCATGTACACCTACCAAGAAACAAAGAGTGTTTAGAATGGTTTTTAGAGAGAGAAAATGCAGCTGTGGCATCATTTCATGTTGTATGTGCTTTATCACTAATAATATCATATCGGAGAAATTCAATAATTCAATTCAATAGTTCTGCTTCTGAGAGTTTCTGCACAACTTAATATGCAATCTTAATTGAGAAAAACAGACCTACTTCATAATGAATGATATATTGCATATTAAAGAAATGTGTAATTGTTTTACTTCTAATGTTCCTTTCTAAGGGATTCTTTCATTGGTATGACTTGAATGCTACTACATCAAGAAAATTGTATGCATTTATGTATGTATTCATTTATTTTATCTTAGGTTTCAAACCTAAATCATTGTGATAAAATAGTGTTCAACATCCTCTTTTTCCCCTTTTTATCATTGTGACAAACATTTTAATGTCCTGTTTTTATGATTTCAAAATATGGTCATCGTACTTTACTTGCTGTCTGTATTCACAAATATTTTATAATAATATTCATTATTTTTAAATATTTTGCAGTTGGCTGGAATTATTTTGGCGCTACTTCTGGTTCATGCCATCAGAACATCTGCTCCAAAGTGAACCTTCTTTTCCACATAACTTCTGGAAACTTTGGTTTTACAGAATCTACCATAGAGTTATGAAAAATTATTTTTGAAACAATATTGAAGAAATGACATAATTTCTGTTATTTTAGTGTGATATATTAAAACTTCGGGGGAAATAGAATATAATTATTAAAAGGAAAACCTTTTGCTATACATGAGTGACCGGTAAAAAAACATTGATTGTAATTCTCTCTCAAAGAAATTGATATACGGAAAACTTAAGGAAAATTTAACTATGAGGAACTAAAGAGAAAGTACCAGAATTACAGTACACTAAAAAACTGTCAAGCAATATAGAATTAATGGAGCTAGCTTAATTTACTGACATAGGGTTGTTACGAAGGTGAAGTGATATGCAATTGGATTGTTAGGGAAAGTTTCAGCCAGTGGTTTTGTTAGCCAAAGTTGGATAGATTAATTCATAAAAAGGATTAAAAAGTATATGACTTGTAAGATAGGAAATCAGTATTAATTTCTTCACTTTAAATTAAAATAAAAGATGTGTACTTTAGAAAGTGTTCCTTGTATTTGCACTAGTATACAATTCTCAAATTTAGCTAGTGATCTCATCAGTGATTACTACAGAATCAAACAGGCACATCATCTAAGTATTTCATAATGTCTATTATCATATATTTCCACAGAATGGTCTTATACAGAAGTGTTCGAATATTCAGTTACTGTATTGTTTTTTTGATGGTAATTTGAAGCTTTTAAAATTAACATGGAAATTGTATATTTGTTCCTGGTGTGGTGTATGTGTGTATTTACTAATTTTTAATACATTCATAAATTTTTGTTAATATAAACAGGATTACAAATTTATTTACAATTCTAACAAAAAAATTATTTTTATAACATTTCAACCCCAAGAGAAAAGGTTTGCTCTCTTACCATCACAAAAGATTATCAGAAGGGAGTGTGACATCCAAGAGATTTGGTCCAATAGAAACTGTCCATTTTCTAGAAAGTTCATTCGAAAATGTTCAAACACATATGAAATAATCTGCAGTAATAACAAGGGCTCAGAATCTGATGACCTAAAATTTCTCTGAAAACGACTTATAAAATTACATAAAAATAAGAGGAAAATGATTTAAAAATAAGGGGAAAAAGACCTAATTGTTTTTAAAATAAAAAAATATAAAAATGGTTACTGATTCAATGAACTTTACAATTTTAAATAAAATTTATTTATAAGGAATTATATTTAAAATAGTCTTTATTTTAGGAGGAAATGTAATCCTTAGCTCTGATCTTCCAACTGTCAGTTTTAAAAGGTCAGGGACATTACCGAAGGTCCGTGTAATTTTAAGAGTTCAAAAAGCAGAGTCCACTGCAGTAATGTATTTAGTCATGAACTTATGATACAATAAAATCTTTGTTTTAGTGTGTCATGGTAAATTCATGAAATATTCACTAACAAAAAACACAAAAAGGAAACAAAATGCATAAAAATGACCAAATTGATCCAAAAAGCGACATAAAAATTAAAAACTGGCAAAAATTGACAAAAAATGATCTGATAACTAGAATACATTTCTAAAACTTTCATTTCATGATAAACATTGATTTACAAATTAGCTAGGTCTAGAATGCACCAATGAAATGTCATCAAAATCTGATCCCTGGTCGTAACATCTTTAAATTAGTCCCCGAAAGAAAATCTTCAATCTTCAGTTGGAAAAGAAATTGACCTAGTCTGTTAGAATGTCATGTTTATTAATTACCATTCCACAAAATGCCCAATATTTATCTCATGCAAGTAGTGCTCTGTGTAACATGGCACCATTGTACTTTATTATTTTTACTCTGAATAATAACAACAGTATAGTTCATAAACATCAAACATTGACATTCATTACCATTCATTTCATATTCATCAGAGAGCAGCAGAGAGCATCAGCATCTTAGGACACGTTGCGTGTATAGACACAACAAAATTTAACCATTGAACCATTAAACAACAGAATGTATAATACATGCCACGATCATTTAGTCAACATCAGCATCCTCTGCCATTTAAGGCCAATTTCCTAACAACTGGCACTGAGATTCAGCTCAGGAGAATGATGAAATATGAGAAATTTTTTTACTGGACATTATTAAATGGCATTCTGGGATTTTTATATTTCTGGCCTTGAGAGAAATTACACAACATTTAAATAGCCGGTCTGGATGGCTGAGATTGCCATAGTGATCTCGGACCGAAGCATCACGGGTTTGAGTCCTGCCTCGGGCATGGTTGTATTTGTGTTTGTCCTTTCACCCCCTATCATTACCATATCATAATTTCTTTACTTTCCCCTATCATGACCATACCATGTCATCTTCACAGTTACCATACCGTTACATGCAATAGAGGTTGCTAATGACCTAGATGTTGATGCAACCTTAAATAACCAAAAAACATTGAAATATTGGACATTTTTTTGTCATAATACTGTTTCGAAAGGGTGTCCTTAATAGGTAAAGGACATTCTCGTAAAATTAAACTCATAATATTGACATTATTCAGATATTATTGGAGATAATAATACCTTTGATATAATTAATGAGACTGGTGATGTCTCGGAATCTAATAATTAGTGTCTTAGTGTTTTGCAAATGTGTAGTGACCTTCACCATCAATGCTGAATATTTTAAACAAACTGTAAGTTATTTGCAATTTGTTTGTCTCCTATTTGCCTACATAGCTTATAGATTGTTTTAATATTTCAGCTCTGATTATGATTGTTATGTGATCAAAAAACACACAAGATATTAATTATTATATAAGTAACTAGATAATGTCTGTGCCTCATTCATTGCACAGAACTCTGACAGTCAGAGTAAGCAATAGACTCTTTGAACCGTTGACTTGCCTTTCATAAAGTAAAGTTTAGTTTTTTCCTGTGCTGTCAATTTCCATGACTTCACAATCGTAATTCAAATTGTGAAAAAAAGCATTGTTTTGGTAGATGGATATTACTAGATATTGGATATTAATATTTGGTAGATGGATAATAATATTACAAGTTATAATTTATATAGGAGAGTGGTAAAGAACTATTTGCTGATTGATCAGCATGTAATCTAATAGTGTTAAGATATTTTCGTATTCTACTCAATGAATTAGAATATATATGATGTTGTTTCTAGAATAGTTTATTTAAAAATAATGCATATTTTAGGTACTAACACTGAGAAATGTTGAAAATTTAACAAATATTTTCCATTTTTCTCAAAGCCTTCACATGCACATTTTTTTAAAATCAATTTTAAACTGAATGTTATTCTGATATTCGTATTATCCTTTCTGGGTACTGTTTCTCCTTTCTTTTCTTAAAAATTATATGGAATTAAAAATAATTGTATTGAAAATAATTTTCTGGGATGAATAACAGTTAAATCCATAAATTTAAAATGATTATTTCACATTTTCCAATTTAATATGAAATCCGCATTTATGAATTAAGAGTAAAATTACTGAATAAGATTGAACTCTCAATGTCAAAGAATTGTGATAAACAGTGTTGATGCTCATGAGCATTAACTTAATTAAATTGAAACTCAATTTGTGTATTTTGTGTAAATTTCAAACATAGACTTAAGGAACAGTATTTGCTAAAGAAATTATTATTGTCTATCACTTATAAAATTATTCAAGTATTTGTGACATGTATTCTGAAAGACTAACAACTGATTATAAGATAGATAAATAATTGTTTAGAAAATGTTTTATGTCTTTATGAGATGCAATAAAATAAGGAATTCACTAATAGTAATTTACATTATGAGGACCAAAAATCATCATCAGCCTGAAGGCCAAAACGTGCCTTGTCGCTGCCGCCATGACATTCTGCCCTCCGTTGTCTGTTTCATCTCTGCATAGTTTTGGAATTGTAATTCGGTTTGAAGTTGTTCTAAAATTTTCATTCTAGGTCTCCCTCTTCATCTTCTTCCAACTATTTTAGTCTGAAATTGTGTCCATAGAATTTTGCTTTCTTGTTCCGAGTGGTTTTTAGTAGGGTTCTCTTCTCTTTAAGTTTTTCTAAAAGTACATTATTTGAAATTTTTCAGTTCTGAAAACCACTATTTTTAATCACAAACACATCTCACAAGTGTCTAAATGACTCTTGCCCATTTATTAAAATGCCCATCCTTCACATCTCTATAATAGGACAATCCAGATATAACTTTTCAGAAATTTCTTTCTAATATCCAAATTTAGGTTGGTATTTGTGAGCAAATTTATTTTATTTAGGAACGACTTCTTTGCTAGTGTAATTTGCTTTCTTATTACTGTTGTGCTTTTATTGTCTTTGTTGAAAGTGCAGCCTAAATAGGATAAGCAGTGTACATGTTCTATTTGTGTTGAATATAACATTATTTTATTTGATATGTGATTTTTCTCTTTTTAAATATCATAAATTTAGATTTCTTTTTGTTAACTTTGATGAGGAACCTTAGCAGAATTATTGCGAGAGTATTTATCATTTTCTGTAAATCTTTTCTTGAACTAGCTAAGATTGCTATATCATCAGCATATCTTAAACAGTGTATTTCTAAACCATTAAATTGTATGCCCTTTGTTTTCCCATTAATGTGTTTTATTGCTTAACCAGAAATGTTACTTTACAATTTGTGAAGATTCCATCCAAGGCATTAGATGAGCTGAGACTGGAATTTCGTAATAATTATGTAACACTTGTCTGTGACGTAACATGTTTTATTTAACAAAATATGTTGCATTTCCTTTTTTATTTTAATATTACAACAGGAAATAAAGATATACAACTCATTGTGTAAGTAACTCTTTGGCACCTCAATAAAAAAATTACCTTTCCCACTATAGCCCTCCAAATCCATGAAAACCATTACACTGCACTGAAGGTTTTAAAATAGAAAAGAAAGTGTGGAGATTCTGAAAACTATAATCGAGAAATACAATGAAGTATTTGAAAAATTACCTTCAGAAATCTGAAGAAGGTTTTTCAAAGGTAACAATTTTGTTTGTAGAAAAATGTACATAATGTTAACCTAGTTAACAAAGATGTATTGATAGCATAAGAATCAGATTTGGTAAGTGCTACACACTGCAGCCTCACAACATTATAATATGTTGCAAATGATGAGAATAATTTTGTTGTGTCATCATGGCATTGTGTCAAATGTCATCATGGCATTATCTACTTTTGCTTGAATTATGTTAAGTTTAATTTTTTCTTGATAAAGTTTAAAATATACCTTAGCAATGAGTAACATTGGACATATCAAATGATTTTTGGACTTAAAATTAAATTAACTAATGGTAGACAATATTTGTAACCACACCAATTTAGAAACATTTAAAATAATAAAAATTAAAGCTGTCAATTTGTACCTGATGATGGAGACACGTATAATCTCTAGAACATCATGTAAAAATAAATACAATTAGTTGATTTTTTTAAAACATTTATGTTAGGTCAAAAAACAAAAACTTATTGTCTTAAAAATCTGATTTGGAAAGATTTTCAAGATATGATATTACAGAAAATCCTAATTTAAAGGATAAAATGCGTTTAATCTTTGTTGAAATTATTGGTAGCATTGTTGGTAATCTGTTAAGAAATCAGGCTGTGCTATCAAATATTGTAGTTCATAAGTTGGTTTGAGAATCCTTTTATGGTACAGTAGGCTATAAACTCAGATGAAAGTATATATAAATAAACTTAATCATGTGGAACATGTATAATGCGGAAATCTGTCTAATGTAAACAAGAATTGCAGTTCTGCCAAACGTAAATTCTACAGCATTACATTGCATAATGCAGAATCTTGCCGAATAGAAAGAAAGAAATAGCTAAGAAAAAAAATATAGTCCCTTGAGATTCTGCATTGAGCAAGTTTTACTGTATCTGTTACAAGGTTTTCTTCTTCCCTAATTCCTGTTGTACAATAAAAGGGAAAAAAAGAGGGGATGGTCTTCTTTTTTGAAATTAAGAAAAGTGTATTATTATTATTATGTATTGATTGTGATTAGAGACCAGAAAAATATGTAGTATGAAATGTCAAAATATGTACATAAATATGTAATAAAAATAGTAAGACCATACAACTTTCTAGTCAGTATTAGAGGCTTCATATATTTTTATCATAGTTTAACAGCCAAACTAGATGCAATATAAGCCATCACACAAACTGGCAGTACTTACTAAATGAAGGGTCAGCTGTATTTTTCACACCTACAAAAATAGACTCGGTCACCGACAAGCACTTCCCCAACTCAGTGTGAGAAAACTGAAGCAGGCACACTACACGACTGTGAGAAGTAGTAATGTAGGGGGAAAAATCGATAAAAAAAAATAATTTTTTTTCAGAAATAAAAAATTTAATAAAATTGAAAAGAGTGAAAGAATAATAAAAACATTTTGTGAAAATAGCCACATATGTAAAATATGTAATATAATATTAAATATGTCAAAATATGTAACGAAAAAATTGGATATTGTGTTAGGGCAGAGACGATTTGTCAAGATTACAATTTTCAAAACAGTAAGTGGAAAGGCAATCAATATGTAATTACATAAAAGTCCAATCTCTAATTATGATATATCAGTCTTATTTGATTTCATATATTCATATCCAGTGCCGGAGCTAGACAATTTTGGGCCCGGGGTAAATGTAACCCGTCAAAAATTAAAAATGTGAAAGTTGTATCAAGAAACTATATGAGTTATTTCATTTTAACAAATAACAAAAATTACAATGTTTAAGACAGAAAGAGTTTTAGAAAAAAAAAATTGTAAGTAAAAGTATTTAGTGGTCATATAATACAATTTCCTCAGTGTGCATAAAATGCTAAAGATGTTTGATGTGCATGATTAGTGTTTGATAAAATCACTTGTTCAATACATGAATAATAATTATGAATTTTAGTAGAACCTGTCATAATGTTAGCATCATTTGATTCATTTCATGTAATCCTACATTATAAGTAATGATTATTATTAACTATTTAAGGTAAAAATTAATTAAACATTTTATGAAATATCAGATCGTGACTTATAAAATTACGATCACAATATTCTCTGCTTCTAATTTCATTTCCTATGTTTTACTAATTTTGTCTCATGAGTCTCAACATGAGTCTTAACATTGGGCCCCATGTTGTCTGGGCCCTGATTGATTGCCCAGTCTGCCCATGCCAACACCAGCACTGTTCATATTGTTTCCTGTAATATCTTACTATTCAGAGGAGAGTGTGTTTGTAAAACAGTCTGCCTATAAGTGAGTCTGGTATATTTCAGGAATTTGGGAAACTCTTGCAGCTGTTTTCTTCTCTGCAGCACTGTTGTTATGTTCATTAATCATGGTATGCCAATAAGACCAGCTAGACATGACCAAAGTAAGAATCTGTAAATACAATATAACAATAATCTATGTTTGGAAATTATAGTAAAAACTATGATAACTATAAAAAAAGTAAATTAAATTTGATTTTATATTAATACCTCTGATATCTGCAGGCCAAGAAACAATACTAATATCACTTCTACATTTGGTTCAGTAATTGTTTCTAGTTCCTTGATGCAACCATTATGGTTCATTGTAAAAAAGTCACCAATTGTACAGGCAATAGTCTCATTATTATGTGGACAACATGATGCTGGTATGTGAGGTAAATATTGAAACCAGTCACTGGCTTGGTATTTTCCACAGCAATTTAACTATGAAGGCAAGAATACTTATAAATTGTTTTATATATTTTTGAATTGAGATAATAACTATAATTCAAATATCCTTTCATTTGCATTTTGCCAAATATTATCAAATTGATTGGTTATTATGAAACCAAAGTATCTCAACAAAGATAAATTTATTGCTAAAAAGTAAAATTAATGGGAATTGTTTTTGGAATGAAACTTCTTAATCATTTCAATGCATTGAAATACATACTGATATCTGTGCATAGTCCAAAGCCTGTGGATTTTTTGTGTAGGTTAAAATTTGCTCTTCAAATTGTGTTTCCACTGTCTCTGTCAGAGTCTCTTCCAAAAAGCTGATGTAGATTATAGATATTGTGATGTGTGAAATCAAGTTCAGACTTAGGGCAACATTGAACTGTAAGATAAGTAGGTAGAATTAAATATTGCTTACTTTCCTAACAAAAAGTTGGTTAAAAATTATATACTAACCAGTCTAGATGGTCTCTTTTTGCAAGAAGAATAATATCCCCAAAATGCAATTACAATTGAAAATGTAGATCCAAACAATACGTATGTGATCATAACAGTTCCATAATAATAAAGAAAAGGATCATATTTGGAGAATGTTTCCCTACAAACTATGGATACTGCTATGAGTGCAACCGAAAAAACCTATAAGAAAGAGTAAATAGGGATTAAGAAAAATAAATACATAGAATAAATGGTCTTATTAGCTACTTATATTGAACAAGTTTCACATACACTACATGAATATAATACAGTAAAACTTGCTCAATGCAGAAATCTGTCTAATGTGAACATAAATCACGATGTGCCACACATAAATTCTGCAATATTACATTGTATAATGAGGAGTCTTGCCTAATAAGAGAAAAAATACTGGTCCTTGATATGCCACATCAAGCAAATTTTACTGTACTAGGACAGCCTATAGATGGGAATAAAACTAAACTCATTAACTATATATCATTACTCATTTTTGTTCCAACTCATTCCAAATGTTGTCAGGTTCCTAAACACTACATATATAAGGACTAAAAATGATCAGTATATGGACTGAAATCAGGACCAACAATTGAAAAATAGGGTTAAAAGTAGTGAAAATAATGTATTAATCAAATGTTTAAGATACATAAATAGAACGGTCAGAGAAGTTAATTTTAGAACTTTTATTCATATTATCATATTAAGTTATCATTGTGATTTTTATTAAAGTAATTTTGGGATTTAAGCTCAAATAGACTCCGTATTTCCGAAGGGATTTATATCAGGATAACTCCGTAGATGGGGAGGATTTTTTATATAGTGAGTCGGCTGGAGCCCATAGGCATTTCGCCCGAGGCACAGCGAGGACTAGTCGAGTTCGCGAAATAATTCGAGAGAAAACATTGAATTGCATAAAGAATCAAATAGTCGAGGACATTCCGGAAAGATTTGGTAATTTATTCTCACGCTAGGCAAAAGCACAATAATAGGGGTACCGAGGACATTCCATGGGCAACGTCGACCGCGAAGGCAGCCGAGAAGGTCATCTGAGAAGGCAAAAGTGAGCTTAGGGCTTCATTTCAAAACCGTACGGTTCATTCAAGTACAAATAAAAAGGTTAATTATTTAACTGATGGGCTCTGAAAAATTGTTAAAAAATGTTACAATAAATGTTAATCTTGATTTTTGAAGAGGTAAAATATTGATAATTCATATACAGTAGTTGCCATCAATTCAAAAATTTCGATCCACAGAACTTTAAGGAATCTTAATTCTGTATAGAATTACACGTCCACATGCAGCAGGTAAGGAGAAAAATGCAATGTGTCGAACTCATGACTGGATTTGAAACTTAAGTTTGAATAATAAAAATAATAATAATAATAATAATAATAATAATAATAATAATAATAATAATAATAATTCGTAAAAATTCCTGAAATCCATCATGGGCAAATGAAACAACTATTCGTTCACTCCAAAAAATGAAACAATGATTACCAAGAAATAAAATATAAAGGCGCGAATCTTTCAAGGAGATAGCCTGAGCCCTTACTGGTTCTCTTCAATGAACCCGTTATCACACTCAAGAATGCCTTGAAATTGGGTTTCGAACTGAAGAGCCACTAAAGATTCAGATAGCCCATTAGCGTATATGACACATCAAACTCTACGTCGGTACCGATGCGTGGATTAAAAAATTCAATAAAACTACTGAAAGACTTCTCCAGGACATAAATATGCAAATAGGCACTGATAAATGCACAAATACAACAAAAATACGAAGGGTAAACTCACTAGTGAGCTCACATACGACTGTTATGATAAACCAATCACTGCTCTGGAGCTGATGACTCTACAAATACCTTGGATCAGCAAGGAAAATGATTGCACATCATCCAACTAAGGATACTTTAAAACGAAGCTACCAACCATCTCAAGTCAGTGTTTAAAAACTTCCCTCAACTCCCAAACCTCACGCTGCCATAACTCGTATCTATACCCATTTCACCTTCTCATGTTTCTTAAATGGTCCACAACTACCTAGAGGATTGGAGAGACTTGTAAGTGTCAAATGACACGCTTCGGTTGTCACCATCCTAAAAAGTGCAACAGAGGTCACAGTGCCTCGACAAAATGGGAGGCTTATTGTGAAGTTCACGGAATCTTCCATGCCAAACAGTATAAACCCATCGAGAATATTTTGCAGAAAAGCAGACTTCTCCGAACCATTCCACAATATCTCTTTCTGAGGTAGATATGACAAAATACACGCCCTCAATCTGAAAACAAATATGCAATCTATCCAGCTCTTCTTTGCAGCAAGTAGATCATTCCTCGACAACCAGGAGAAAGCCCACTCCCGGTCCATATCCCTGACTCTGCCAGTAGCCATCCTAAAGGTCGAACCAAGAATGGATCTCGATAACAAATGCTCACACATTATAGATCTATTTGACCCCTGAAGAGCGAATTTCCATGATAGCAATACAACATTCAGTGCATATCCCCACAAAGACATTACCTAAAAAATCATCCCCAAAGACCCAGATGCTACCATCACCACTGATGAACCTGTCGCATCTTCGCCTGAATCAGTTACACTCCATATTTCCATGTCACCGACTTATATGATTCATGGCCGTCCTTTCTCTCTCCCCAACACGGCACGCTAATAACCTGAATCACGATCAACGTGTCCACATCGTATCTCACTCAATCCGCAAACTAAGCAAAAAGCACATGACCTAGCCTACAGAAAGTGGCATTCGCCTCCCTTTCAGTACCCATCCCCCATTCACCACGTCATTCACATCACCACCCTTTGACCGACTCTCTCTACAACCACTTAGGCACTCCTGTACAGAAACCATCGAGCTCTCATAAGTTTATACGCTGACCCGTCAGTATTCTGACAACAGGACAATCAGCACCAACATGACCTGATAGGACTCTTTGACAAATCGCCAATAAGTTGCTTATTGATGTTCCCCCAGTATTCTCTTAATACCCATATAACATATCTAAAGCCTTAGCCTAACCTCTCTACCACTGATCATCTCACCAGACGAAAATCGACAACTAACCAATATCTATAGAGCCTACTCATTACTTACCCCCGCACCACTACAAATCATTCAAAAACAATCTCTCTCTGAATGCGTCCATCCTCGGATCGATCGAACAAACGACTATATCCCCAATTCCTTACTATCAGCGCAGAGCCTGCTCTCGATGTACATCTTACCAAAACTCTCTGCAGATCCTGGAAAGACTTTATAAAACTCGTTAATAATCAGCACCTGCTCACTAGTCAAGAATTCATGAGAGACATGGGGGTTTGAAAGCTCATTTCTGAAATGTATTTGTTATTAGCATTTGAAAACTATATTTCTATGTTTACAATCTAAAACAGTTTTTTTATGTTTATGTTTAGAATGCCTAATTGTTTTGTAGATTTTAAATAGTCTGTTTAATCCTGATATTGTTATCTGTGTGGCATCCATGTGAAACCAAAAACTTTGAGAATAAACAAAATAATAATAATAATAATAATAATAATAATAATAATATTTCAATATTGAGAGAATTGCGAAGCACATCAGGGGAATGAAAGAAATAATTACATTGTTTATATCAGTAGGAAACGTAGGAATGTTATAAATGACTGCCCAGCCTAACGAAAGTTATTAATGAAAGCTAATAAGTAGTTGAATAATATAAGGAGTGTTTCAAATAGCTTGCTTAGCGTGGGGCAACGAAAATAAAAGATTATTTAAATTTAATGTTGGGGACGCGACATTGCCAAGAAAACATCGATGCTCAAAAGGAGACCATCGATGTTAATGAAGCATTCTGACAAAACCATCGATGTAAATAAATATCGTTGTTTTTAAAACAGGGTTAGTAACAATCGACCTTCGTTTTAAAATATTGATTACAAAAACTTCGACTACGATGACATACCTATTTGATGTGCTCTTAAGACAATTTTAAGTATATTTGGTCGAGAAAAAAAAACTACGTGGATATTCTGAATGGCTAAGCTGCAATAAGCACTAAAGCATAAAAGTTGGTTTGAAAAACTGCTTTTCAGGCAAAAAATTGCGTTGCGGAAGCTACATTACGGATACACTCCAGAAACATGTAAATTGCTTATTATTTGCAAAAGAAATTAATGTATTTGTTCAGAAAGTCAAATTAACACAGAAACAAAAAAGCAGTCGAATTGTGTAAATTGGGTGCTTTTTGTAGTGCGTGGAATGCAACAACGTCTCAGCAACAAGGACTCGGGAGCTACTGTCCGTGAATTACATCTTATTGTTGGAGCATGATTTACCTGTATGAAAAGCAGTTTCGAGAAAGTACGCGCTGTTTCAGCACCTCTAATTAGATACGGGGTGTACTGAATGGGGTGTACGGGTGGCCAGTGTTATTCTGTGAAGCAGCTTCTGCTGGCAAATGGAGCAACAATGTGTTTGTGCTCCGTTTACACAGATTCTTTCTCACCGTGACTGTCCTTTGTTTAAGAAAATGAATAAGCAGTGGTGCTGTATCTCGACCAAGTTGAGAATGATGTTTACAGGAGTGCGCCTGTGCGCCTTGTCTTTGTTTACAGCCGAAACGATAGAGACGAAGATAAAGATACCCAATTCAAATTAAATATGGGAATACGCCAAACTAGAGGGAAAAAAGTACGGTTTATTTCGTCCCAAATCAACTGTCTTCCCAATGTATATATTAACTGTTTTTGGACATGTGTGTACCTCGAATAGGAAGAAAAGTTTACTTTTCTCTGCAGAATGAATAAAAATTAGGATCGAATTCCTTCAATGAGCAGATAATTTGTACTTTAATATTCATATAAATTATTTGTATTTTAATTTAAGTAGTTTCTCCGAATATACCAATTAAAATTATGTGTTATGTATGAAGGAACTATCACAACGAAGAAAACTGTAGATCCTTATGACACAAGTTTTTGTACTCTATTGCATACCTAACAGATCGGATAGTCTGCTTAAATAAGCTGAATGAAGAAGAATATAAAATGTTTAAATTCAACGAAAAAGTAATAAAACTTTCATATAAAAAGGAAAAAAATGTAAAACAAAGGTAAAAGGTAAAAAAATGCAATTCAACGTGACAAAAATAAAATAGTGAGT